CCAAGATCACATTCATCGTGTGATTTGTTTCAGGCTACTTGTGAGACTCAGTATACTTACTTAAAAATCATGCTTCCTATGTAGATATCCCGAAACCCAAGTGCTGTTGACTAAACGTTCGGTTTCATCCATTTCTGTACTTTCCCAGGCAGCTGCTGTATGGCCGCGGCCAGCTTCCTGGAGTTTAACTGTACCTTTGTACATTCAATAAATAAAAAAGGAAGCAAAAAGAAACTTTTTTACAAGATTGGGTTGGCCCAGCTCCTCATCTTACTTTAGTTATGGAAACAATGGAACAAGTGGACAAGGTTTGTTATTCGGGCCGCTACATCTCGCTCAGTGGATGCATCACGGATGAAGTGTCGGCACGCGTACAGAGGGCTCGGTTGGCATTTGCCAATTTGAAACATCTGTGGCGCCGTCGCAACATCCGGCTGTCTGTTAAGGATCGACTGTATGCTGCGGCAGTTCGGCCAGTTCTGCTAAACGGCGCAGAAACTTGGCCAGTAAGAAAACAGGATAAAGATTAACTCCCGGTGTTCCAACACCGCTTTCACATGGAACGAATCTGATGGGGCAGCCGGACGAGCAATGCTGGGGTTAGTAGTTGAGTTTTAGGCAACCGCGGTCGGCCATCAGAGGTAAGTGGTCCATCTCCGTAGATTACGCCGGTTGGGACATGAGCTGCGCATGTCACCAGATAGGTTGCCACGGCGAGCGATGTTTGCCGAGGATGAAAAGGTCAAACTAAGACCTGGCATTGAGGGTGGAAAACCCTAACCAGGAGTCTGGGTCACATGGGTCCCATTAGGCTTCCTGGATTACGGTAACCGGTGGTTAGAGACTAAGTGATATGGCTGAGTATCGCAAACAGTGGCCTCGTGCATCTACTCAATATTCTTGCAACTGCAGCCCACAGGACTTGTCTATCTTTTGTTTGAATTTGCACTCGACATTCCAACCTTTATTCTGTTCTTTTATCCAAATGGGCGGCCAAAAGACAGCAACGAAAACTGGTGCACGAAAGTGGGAGGTTAATGGTTGTAAAAACTTAACTTGCTTATTCAAAGTGAACGAACGCTACGTTGCAATAGTCTGAGTTAGGCCAACGCATTTGCTGTCTGTGTTATGGATTTCGTGGACAACACACTAGGAATATGGTCTACACGTGGTGTGCGCAGTACGCAGCTTTCGATAGCTGATTCAAGTTGGGTATTCTCTAGTTTACGCAAGAAAAGTTGGTACACAGTCAGATTGCATGACAATACCATAGCGACGTCGTCCTTTTGCCGTTAAACCTCATCGCCCAACTTGAATCAGGATTGATAAAGCAAGTAGTTAAGCTCATCTGAAGAAACACATGTCTCTATTATTCCCTTCAGGTAAAACCTAATTCACCCAGAAAATTTCTGCCAAATCAATGAAAAGTGGATAAGGACCAATCGCTACCGCCGGAAGTTTTCGGTGTCTCCTCCAAACTACTGGAATGGTGGAAACCAAGGTAACAGACAGAATCCTACAATTTTATTGGTTCATCCGCTTTATCGATACTGCGGCGTTTTTCATCCCAAAAAAATCAAGTCTGTGCAGAGCACTGTAAACGCTGCACTTTTCTCTATTACTCTAACGCCCCATTCTAGTATTTTCTATGCCAGCACTGCAGCAACCGTCTCCTGTCTGGGAATCGTTGAGAAAAGTGGAATACGACAGAATTCAGTGATACATTGGTAGAAAACAGTTTCATTCTAAACAGTCGACATGTCTGACAATTACCTCGATGGAAACGTCAGTAACGAATGGACTAAAGTCGTATGAGGATCGTTCGACCAATCAGATTGAGACTACGAATCCGTTTATAAAGATGAATGTAGCACTGAACATGTTAACTTAGCTGGTGATGAAACATTCGCAAATAAATTGTCAAGCTAGGCGAACAGGCGAAAATGAATTCAGGTCACCCGATAAAGATTTTCAGTAATTTTCAAAAACCACTCCCCCAACAAGAAACAACACTGCCTTACATGAAAATTCCTTATCTCCTCATAAGTATGGATTCTAAAAAGAACACATCACCATGAGCAACCGCTAGCATCCGAAATTAGAACAAAATACCAATGGATTCTGGCACACGATCAAAGCACTAAAGACGGATCTCCTTAACCTCTACCGCTTTGCTGGACGTTAGCAGAATCCTGATGCTCTCTGATGCTCCAGGAATAATAACCTTAGATGAAAGCACACCAAGAACGTGACGAATGAACGAAACAAGTGATGGGTGACATAATGTAGGGAGGTAAAGAAGGTTGATACTATTACCAATAGCCGAAGTCTTCCCCATTCAATCCGGAGTACAGGTCCACGAAAGTAAGCGCGAGATAACTAGGGGGTCCGACGTCACACTGATTCACCTTCCGCAACACCACCTTGATTGATAAGCAAGACATTTTAGGGCCCCATGGGTATCACATTTACTAACTCCTATCTCACCAAGACGGCTGCTACCCGTTGGTAAACGTCCTCCTTCCGAAATGCAAAGTGCACAGAAAATACGTAACTTTGAAAGTTAAGGCCTCTGGCACAGATAGGCTGTTCCCATCGGCTTTTAAAGGGGGTTCAGTCATGGTAATGGATTTGACGAAAATCTTGGGTTCAAAATGAGGAGTTCCAGCTGAAAAGTATGAATCGTCGTCTAACCGGTTTAGCAGAAAAGGGGATAACTCCTCTTGTGAAAACCACAAAAGAATTAGTTTGATAAGTATTGTCTCCAAGGTTCTTGCGGCTATTATGCGTTGTTGAATCAATCGCAGATTAACAGTGTACGAGTGAAACGCACGCGGGTTCCCGAACTGTGTCAAAGACGAAACGACCATATTATTACTCTTCTTACTGTTGAAAACAGAGTGATTCTTTAAATCCGCAATTCACATGTTCCCTGGTGGTAGACAGCTTTTCTGTCGTCTGGTTCGACACCGCGTTCAACCTAGACTTAGGCGGTTTGCCACTCCAAATCCTGGGACTTGGGTTTCCGGTTTCTATCAGTGAACAGCAGGTCTACACGATTATGGGGTCTCGAGTTATGGCTCATCATCCATTCCTTGTACCTCGTAAAATGCTCCAATACGACCAGCTGTCCCAAATAGCCTCCGCTGAGGAAGCTCTACTCACTGCCTTTTCGTGTGTTCCCACCAATGACAGAAGACGAAAAGCCGACATCCGGGCCTATAACCGAGTTGGTGAACCATTGACAGTTCACCTAGGGGAGTTGGCTAAAAACCATGATGCCAAAACAACCAAGAAGAGGCGTACGGACCATAGACACACCCTCTTGGTTGTAGCGGTGGTAACCGACTCGACTGGGTACCAAGGTGTATTGAGCACCTTGGGCGTTTGACTCCATCCAAAGGGCATATGACCCAATGAACTGAACATCGGCCATCAACGGACTGCGGACTCTGAGCTCCGTCCTGTTGTCTTACAGGTTTGGCTTTCCAGCCAAAGGCTTCGGATGGGGACCCCGAGGTTATTCCCTTTCCTCTATCACGGCAACCGAGAAGTAACGTGCCCACACAACCTATGAACACAATCAACATTTTTCTTTGTTCATATGTTGTGGCACTCTTGCCAGTTCTCTGTGATTAGTTACGTGTTGAAATAAAATTAAAAAATACCCTGTCTGCTGTTCATCATCATGCATGTGTGTAACAAAAAATTCGATTACACAGAACTTTCAATGGTGTACCAGAGTCTTCTCCAGCATTTCGATTCCTTCATGGTGTCGTGAGATACTAATCACAGTTGTGAGTAGTGTGCAAAACAATGCGATCGGTGGTTTCTTTCAACTATCAAAAATTTACAAGACCATCGAGGGCAAATTGCTGTGCCTCAAAGAATAATTACCGACTGCTTCATGTGCTGCCAAGAACTGCAATGATATGTTTCAAATGATACTTCTGTTATAGGTATGCTAAATTAATGATACCCTAAATGTTACCTGCAATAAACAACTTCCTTCGACCTACCACCGCCTTGTGGAATTATAACAATGGTAAGTACTAAAGATCAATTCGAGTGTGCGGCTCTCGTTCGCCGGAGTTCACAACGGAATGTTCGTTATGGTTGTCCTATGTTGAATCTGTTTGCTAGGCTCCACACGTTTTTGCCCACGAATCTGTCTAGTCACCTCTCCCTCAAGTGTCATCGTCTTGACCCGTGCGTATTATCGATCATCAGGCACGCACGTTTCCTTCGCTTGTCCACCAAACTCGGTTACCCCCTCCCCCTTCTTGTGACCGTTGTCCCTGNCATGTGCACAAGTGCACTCTGACGTCATTTCACTTATCGCTTGTTCGTTTGACGGAGTGGTGAAATCCCTCGTTTGCACCTTGGTTCTCGACTGGCCTTGTTTATTTCGCCGCTGGCAGTTCACATAGGGGAGTTGGCTAAAAAACCAAACCTCCAAACCACCCAAGAGGAGGGGTACGAACCACATACCTTCCTGGCTGTGGTAATAGTCACCGGCTCGATTGGTCATTGAGGCGATTGAGAAGCTTGAACGTTCGATCTTGTCCAATGGGCGTATGATTCGATGAACTAGACACCTCGACTCCCGCAAATTAACGGTTCTCACAAACAGCCCTTCGGCCTTGCGGGTCAGGCTTTGGTTTGCCAAAGGCTCCTCAAAAGAATTCACCTAATTTGGCCAGGGTAACTAAGCCGTATCCTACCCTCGAACAAATCACGGAACTTTTTTCTTTCTCATAGAGGTTATTTTACCGTGATTTTTGTCTGGCACAAAGTCTGAACTCAGAAGTGTGTGAAAAAATTAGAAATAAATCACTGATGCAAACGAATTAACGCTAACACATCTTAGCTGTGTGGACTGGTTACAGGTCGATCAAAGCCTCACTAGGAAGCACCGTTTTTGATACACCGATTAACAGTCAATCGACCGCGGTGGTGCACAATCAGGCAGGACGGTCAGAAGAACAAATATCCCTTACCTGAGCTGTACAAAATGACCGGGAAAACCACAAAGCCAGTCGTACGAGCGGTTGACGTTGCGGACAGAACAAGGCACGTTCACGGGCCCCGACCAACTGCCGCGAGCTGAGAAAATTGGCAAACAGGGAAGAGGATTCGAGGCTTGGATTGAGAGCCCGTAGCATGGTTCCCAGACGGTCGATCAGAGGACGCACTATGCGCAATGTGGATTCGGGACAGGGATCGGTCGGTGGAACATCAGACAACGAGTCCTGTTCCAGTTGGTGGATGGTCCGAAAAAATAGTGATTCTGTGGCAACGATAGCATCCGTATCATCTGATACAAGGACAAAAGCGAAGGCGATAAGTAGAGCCGAGTGAACAAAGCAGAATGTGGAAAAGTTATCGAGTTATAAAAACTAGGCGGTGCGAAGGATTGGCAATGAAATAGTCTCGCTCTGCGGAAATGTTCTGAGCTATTGAAATGAATTCAAAATTTAATTCGAAGACCTTTTTTAAAACAGCCTAAATTGAATACTTATGAGTGCGTTTAAGAGTAAATATGACCTTGTCCCTGTGGCAACACATAGAAGGAACAGAATCAAAAATTTGCGCAAAATTCAAAGGATTTTGTTTCTTTTGTATTAATCTGTTCCCCTAACACCCAGGTTACCACTAAAGAGTACTTTTTTGTTTGTAGTATCGTTAATGCGTCACTCCATTTCAACCGTTTCCTTCGTGCTATAACTTCAAAACAGGGATTTATTCAGAACACTTTCGGAAAAACTGACGCACTGATTGAAGTTATGTATAACTCAACGTGCCCAAACTTTGTCCGAGAAACTCCGATAAATAAAGCAAAATAAATTTTCAAAATCACGATTAGATCTATTTTGAAAGCCGTAGTTCGATCACCTGCATAATGATGAGCGTTATGCCTGCCAGTTGATCACCGAATCTTGTCCCACAAGACGTTTCCCAACGAATTCCAATCATGAGACAATTGCAAGACAATGCGAGTGTGTATTGGAAGAGCGAGATGACTAAGTTGAACAATGGAGAAATGTGAAAACGAAGATAACGGATAGATTGCTGTAATCTGAGTGGCCCGTCTACCCAATTGATGCTCTTCAGTTGTCTCTTGCGGGTAATGAAGGCCGTCCATACCAAGTCAAGTCAAGAAACGCTTTACGCACCCATGCAAAAATCTGAATACAAAACACGTGTTCGCATTATTCTAACACTGTTCTCGGACTACCATTAAAAGCTCGCATCCTTTCTGCTTTTTGTGGGTGGAATGCGCGGAGACTCGTTGGGAGCAGTCATTTTGGACAGGATATAATGACGGTGTGGCAAGACAACTGTAACCTCAATACTATTTAGGTTGTTTGCATTTACTGGTTACGGGCAAGGATACCAAGAAGTGGCATACTGCACGCTCAGGGAATGGAAAACGATGCTTGACTGATTGCGAATCACATCTCAACAACATTTCCGCAACACGGTTCAGCTGCATAGCAGAATCTGAATGAATGTGAATATGAGATCAGCACAACTTTGGGGACAAGAGCTGAGCGAATCGATGGGGTGATATGATCCCTGTAGGTGAGCGCGCAGCTAAAACTAGAGCAACAGTATACTGTGTCTTCGCGTTCGAGGGCTAAGATGTGAATAAAAAATGTAATTCAGTGTCCGTTTCTTATTGGATGCATAAATGACAATTACGGGCATGGTTGATAATGGACGGTATGAGAACGGAGGAAACAGCATTTCGTAAAAGCGTGTCACTGGTTTCCGAGTTGTCGCCACTCATCAAGTATAAGTATGCGACCAATGCATTTACACTATTATAATATATATAATAATACTAAAATATATATATAGGGCTAAGTTGTGTCGACTTTAATGAGACTATCAGTATCGAACCTAAAAATGTCTTTGTGGTGTTGATTTTAAAATTCGTTCAGTCTTACTGTCCTCGGATTATTTTCATAAATAACGGTAAAGTTTCATCATGAAAATTACATCACGTTTTGCATAAAATCTTAAGGTCGAATGCTGTCCTACTGCCGCGGTTTTTTTATATCCCAGCTGTGCCCCATAGAAATATTTGTGATAGTCCACAAAGAGTAATGAACACTAGTTTCGCCTGTTCGGGCAGCAGTGCGTAATCTTTGCAACCCTGTCTCCAAAGGAGTGAAACGCACACCCAAGACCATCAAGAGTGTCTGGTGCCTCTGAACAATCAAACGGGCTGATCCACATATGACAGTGTAAAAGGAAATTTAATAAGTTTCTTAATTCTGTGCGTGATCGGCCCAACCGTTTGTCTACGAAAGTTCGCAGCTGCCGAACCAAACTGGTGCAACAACTCTAGTCTATTACTCCAATTTAACACGAAAAATATCAGCTGTGAACTAAATCGCTACAAGCCCTGTTTTCTTAGTAGGCTTCTCTCTGTAGAATTTCAGTGTGTTTGTTTCGTACCCGGACACCCTCGCTTCTGATAATACGGTACTTAATCATTCAACTTCGTCCCGCCTAGTCACCTGTTTCGAAAACTTTGTATACATCATTTATGGAGATCTTAATCGACTTGACACTTACTGTTCAACCTCCTAGAACTATTCAACTCTTTTCATCTGTCCCACTCAACTTGATGTCATGCTACATCTTTTCTTTGTTAGCAGCACTGGCCTTTCTACCATGCATAAAAACCTGCTGTCAGCACTTCTGACGGCTGTATTATCTAGCCTCAATCTAAGGTCTAAAGTAAGAACAAGCACTTAAAACACACTTAACCTCCATCTTGGATTAGCAAGAGAAGATGAAACTGTAACGCTGAAAATTGCCAGTACTCAAGCGTATTATTTCTTCCACAAATCTTTTCTTTTTCCTCGGTTCCAATTATCCTCTGTACTCTGAGAATCTTTGGGTTTATATCAAACCTTGTTGTGGTCTTTGTTTTTCTGTTAAAACTATTTACGTACGTGTCCATCAGCTTTTCTCATTTCTGAAACGCCCCCTTCACCGTACTAGAAAGAATTGGCTCATATAATTGGAGGATGAGAGTTAATTGTGCTGATGCGGTTGATGGAAACAACAGCCATCGGCCAATGTGACTGACTCTGAAGCAATTTGATGGTAGACGGACAAACTGCCATCCGGATGTTGAAAATATAGACCGTCAATTTGCTGATTTCTCCAAAACCAACATACTGCATTTCACGTACCCATCAACTTGATCGAGGTCTTCACAGCCAACAAGGCTTATGGCGGCGGAGCAACTTTGACAGCTACATGGTGCTTTTTTTATTACACACCTAGGTGTGATGAACCGCAGACGGGATAAACCCCATAGTCACGAGGACCTGCTGTTCAGTGGTTGAAATCGGATACCTAAGCCCCGGAACATGGAGTGGCGAACATAAGGCCCCGATAGGTTAGGCGTGGTATTGAACCGGACGATAGCAGAGCTGCCTACCACCAAAGTCGGGTGGCGGTGCTCGAACCTCGGACCATAGGGTCTAAAGTACGCCGGTGACAGCTTAGATAGCGCATGTCCACCAGAATGATTCCCCAAAACTGGAAGCCCGTTAGGATTGCCCTGTTCCCAAGAAAGACTCCAGTATGTACCACTCTTTTTTGCTTGTGCTCTCGTTCTACTGAGGGTTTTTGAGAAAGCGCTACTGAAACGAATGTTACCCTCAATAGATGCGAATGACCCATTTCAGTTTGCCTATAAACGATTCTTAGCGGCACTCGATTCTGCCGTCCATTTTGTGCACCCTGTTGCGTCCGCTTCGAAGTAAGGCCTCCGGACTGCAAGATTAATCTTTCTTGATTGCGCAAACGCTTTCTGCCCCGTGAATCTAACCACCCTTCTGCATCCCCTTCATGACTTTCTATTAAACACATTTGTGTGACGAACAGAACACGAAGTGGACCCCAGAGTCGCAAACACCTGCTTTTCTGTGATGGAAACCGGCAATCTAAGCCCCGAGACTTCGAACGACGAACGGAATAAGGCCTATGCATAGTATTGAACCCGACGACGGATAAGCTGCCTACCACCAAAGTTGGCTGGGGGTGGTGCGGTTCGCAACTCGGACCATAGGGTCCAAAGCACGCCGGTGACAGAGACTAAACCACTGCGTACCGTTACCATTGACTGTGGTGTTCAGTCACATATCTTCAATGTTCCTTGGATATTTCACAAACCAAACATAGCTTATCCCCGATGGTACCAAACATTCTTTGAATATTCCCACCAAATTTGATGTGTTCCAGGAAGGCATTCTGAATCCTTTCCCTATTCTTTCTGGAAAGAAAGGATCATATTATTCCTTAGGATTGTAGTAGTTGCACATATGCAAGTGATATTATCATTGGATGTTCATATGCCTAAACTTCCTCACTTGATCCTCTCTCTAAAGCTGTTTGACTGACCTCTGTACCTGAAGCCTAATGCTCTAAGATGCATTGACGTCCCTTTCAATCTTCAATCTGACTCTGTATACTAATCGGTTTATCCATATTCCTTTGCCTCTCGCTACTTGTGACTAACCTATCCCGCATACGTATCACGGCAGGAGCTGTGAAATTGTTTGAAAGACTGTGGAAATGGCCAAGTGGTAAAATGCATCATAACATGAGCCCGGAGTTCATGTGTTGGAACCTGCCAACACTGCTTATCTTTCCCATTTCCTGTGTTTCCCCGGACAGTCTTTGATCAACCGAAGTCCTCTAACCGAAAATTGATTGTACTACTGCTTAAATAAAAAGCAAGTGAGTCATTATTTATTCTGTTTTTATACCAATTGTCAACAGGCAAAACTGGCAGTAAGAAATTTCCTAAATTTGCTAGATTGACTGACCGACATTTCAGCTATCACAACACTCAGTACATCAAGCACACACGCGGGAAACCCAAGGCTCTAGTTCAGCTCTCATCAGACCTCAACACTGTGGTGCGTTCAACGGCTCATCTCTCAAACGAGCCTCCTGTATGGGAGTGCTAACACAGTGCCAACAGGCTTCAGCCGGACTGACCAGAATCAACGATTCCAGTTTTATCGTCTTCAGTAGCATTCAGTCAGTTGCATGCTCTGTTCACTGATAGGGTTGCACCTAACGCGACTATTATCTTAAGCATTATTATTATTACTACGTCTTTGGTATTAAAGTTAATGCGATGCCATCCAGCACCGGAGTAACTAACACATTCCTACATGACAAAGGCAACGCTAATCTTTTTGGGGAAGCTTTTCTACAATCAGCTAAACACACGCAAACGAGGTGTATGAACTGGTTCTAGAACACGCTTTTCACGATCGGTATCGGTTAGACTGAGAGTTACGGTGTATTATTGAAACCTGAGGGTGTAAACAGCATCTAAAGAACGTAAAAGCCGAGTGACTAGATATCGGCTACCAAAGTAACTGTGGCTGCTGCACACCACACGGTTGTCTTGTTTCAAAAAAAAACCAAATTCGAATCCCTCAGAAAATCACTTATATTAGTTTGGGCACTCTGGCACGCACGGATAAATCATAAAGTGACTTCTTTGTCATAGAGATATATGCTCCATTATCATTTGTAAGACCATTCTAGACCGTAACAAGTGCGAAAGGTAATAATAATAATAATAGTATATGACGATGGTATCGAATCGCTCGGGGGATTGATATGGTTCACAGAATAAAAGAGCTTAGTAGTTCGCAAATCAAGAAATCAACATCTAAATCGTAGACAGTCGTGATACGACTGAATTGTACCCCGCCCCGTGTGCTTAGGGTAGTGACGTTAATAAAATATTATCAATAAAATAACAATACAGTGAAGTTTTATGCTTGTGTGCACACGCGATAAACATAACCCAAGAAAGAAACCCAGACATAACAAAATAAGAACTAGGAAGGAATACATGAAAATTTGAACTCAGAACTTTTTTATTTAATACTTTAGTAGAAGCCCCATGGTGGCTAGAACGCACAGTTCGGTCGCAGGACCTGGTGAGTAAAGCCCTGGGACTGGGAGTATAGAGCTAACTAATGTCCTGCTAGGAAAAGTGTGGTTTTGAGTCGGATGGGGGCGACTGACTACCCATCAACGTTGGGTAGTGGGGGCAGCGATGGAACCTCAGACCTTAGGGCTTGGAATAGGGTTGAAAACCGCCACATAAAACAGGGCTTAAATGGAAGCAAAAAGTGATAAATTCTTCAAAAAACAAACCAGAAAAGCAGAACTCACTAGAAGAAACGGTGTCGTACAGTAGGGTGAATAGACTGTGTGCATGTTGTGTTTGTTCCAGTTCGGCATCAATCATGAGTAGAAGCAGAAGTTGACGTACCAGGGCATCCTCACAACGATCCACCACGGAAGTTGCAACCTGTGTGAGAAAAGGAATCCACTGGCAAGTAACACTGGAGTCTGTCTATTGCTTGTTCTCACCCAACTTGACATCGTAATGTAAATTTTGATGTAGTAGCCAGTGGTTCACCGGACATGAGTCGGTTCACTACTGTGTGCTTTTCTTGCAGTATGTATGTAGAAAAAATAGTGAGGTGTCACTGTGGAACACATAATGAAGAGCAAAAAGATACACTGAGACCAGTATCCCCGGGTTGCAGAGGGCATGGCAGATCACGGAGATTGTGCTGAGGTGATCTATGCGAAGAGACAAAAACTGTGCTACCCAGAGGATAAACCGGGCGGTGCGATGCAAAACAGGGGCCCAACAGCGTTCCATAAATGCCAGCATGAAAACAGACAATTAACAAAACCATGATCAGAAGGGCAGTA